GCCCTCCCCACGCCAGCCTCGAGTCCTTCAAGGGGTGCGGGTGTTCGTTTCTGCGCAGAGGGCCCTTGCCCCGTGAGAGTAGGGCCAGGGCATAGGCCAGGAGGATGAGGAGGTCCAAGGCCACCAGGGCGGAGATGAGGTAGAAGAAGACCAGGAGGTACTGGGGCCAGTGGGGGAACCCCTTCCAGCGGGCGCCCCCGAACATCATCAGCCCGAACCAGGCCCCTCCTTGCAAGAGGCCGTCCAGGAGGTGGTTCGGCCATCCCGGGAACGGATCCTCTCCAGGGGGTTCACCAGGTGCCCGAGTATGCCGGCGCCGGCCGTAGGCCTCCGGGGCTCGGCGGGGCGCCCAGGCTGAAAGATGCGCGTTCAGCTGGCAGAGGGTCCGCTGGATACTCCAGGAATGATCATCTGGAGCCCCCCCCTCCGTCCGATTGCCCCCTTCCTCCCCTCCTCCAGCCGGGGGCCCCGACGAGGAAGGCGCGGGGGGAAAGTCTTCCACGGGCGAGGCCGCGGGGATGTGCCCAGCAAGGAGAGGCGCGATGTAGCCCTCAGGCTCCATGCAGACATCCTCCTCTACCTGCTCTGGGGCGGGGTCGGTGCCGTCGGCGGGGGCGAAGTCCACGGTCCCAGCCATCCCAACGGCAGCCCCAATGGTCGCTCCAGCCACGGGAGCCGTGCGCCCTCCCGGAGGCAGGGCTCCCAGCTCGGCCGCGGTGAGCAGCAAGAAGCTCGCGGGGTGGGGACCTCCCCACCCCTTCATGATGAGATTAGGGGCCAGGGGCCCCTCCCGCAAAAGGCACAAGCTAGCTGAAACAACTGCGGGAGGGAAGGAAGAGGAGGAAGACAGGGGAGCAGCCGTTGCACTGCCGTGGGTGAATACCCCTGTTTAAGCAAACCTAAACAAAACACTTAAATTTTCTTGGTTCCGCGTTTCGGGCTGGCTTTCGGGTTCGATTGTCTGAAATTTTCTGGCTTCGGGTTGCGGTATGCGAGCTTCGCGTTTCGATTTTCAGTTTTGCAGCGCCTGGTACAGCGCCTAATACAGCGCCTAGCACAACGCCTAAACGAGCGGCACACTATGTAGAAAACGCCACATGATAGAGATCACTACGTAATATAACACACAACGCAATAGAAAACGCTACGACTGGGCAAAATACGCAATAGAAAACACGACGTATAAGACATACTACGTGGTACTACGTAGTAGAAACCACTAAGTAGTAGAAAACATTACGTAATAGAAAACACTGCGTAGAACACACTACGCAAGACACACGACGTAGAAACACAGAAAACACGACGCATAACACAATACGTAGGAACACTACGTAAACACATGGAAGACACTACGTATAATACACTACGTAGTACGCACTACGTAATTATCCTGGCGAAGGACCCAACCATATGCAATTGTGAATACTGCAATTGTGAATATCTTCTCGGTGGAGCCCCCTTACGGGGCCACGAAACGTACGAGGGGTGTGCCGAAATGGGTGTGCGGGACGCATGCGGGCACACCCACTGGGGCCTTCGGTGGAGCTCCCTATGGGGCCACGAAGCGTGTGAGGGGTGTGCCGACATGGGTGTGCGGGACGCATGCGGGCACACCACTGGGACCTTCGGCGGAGCTCCCTATGGGTGTGAGGGGTGTGCCGAAATGGTGTGGCTGACGCATGCGGGCGCGGGCACTGGGGCCTTCGGTGGAGCTCCCTATGGAGCCACGAAACGTGTGAGGGGTGTGCCGAAATGGGTGTGGCTGACGCATGCGGGCGCGGGCACTGGGGCCTTCGGTGGAGCTCCCTATGGAGCCACGAAACGTGTGAGGGGTGTGCCGAAATGGGTGTGGCTGACGCATGCGGGCGCGGGCACTGGGGCCTTCGGTGGAGCTCCCTATGGAGCCACGAAACGTGTGAGGGGTGTGCCGAAATGGGTGTGGGTGACGCATGCGGGCGCGGGCACTGGGGCCTTCGGTGGAGCTCCCTATGGAGCCACGAAACGTGTGAGGGGTGTGCCGAAATGGGTGTGGGTGACGCATGCGGGCGCGGGCACTGGGGCCTTCGGTGGAGCTCCCTATGGAGCCACGAAACGTGTGAGGGGTGTGCCGAAATGGGTGTGGGTGACGCATGCGGGCGCGGGCACTGGGGCCTTCGGTGGAGCTCCCTATGGAGCCACGAAACGTGTGAGGGGTGTGCCGAATGGGTGTGGCTGACGCATGCGGGCGCGGGCACTGGGGCCTTCGGCGGAGCTCCCTATGGAGCCACGAAGCGTGTGAGGGGTGTGCCGAAATGGGTGTGGCTGACGCATGCGGGCGCGGGCACTGGGGCCTTCGGTGGAGCTCCCTATGGAGCCACGAAACGTGTGAGGGGTGTGCCGAAATGGGTGTGGGTGACGCATGCGGGCGCGGGCACTGGGGCCTTCGGTGGAGCTCCCTATGGAGCCACGAAACGTGTGAGGGGTGTGCCGAAATGGGTGTGGGTGACGCATGCGGGCGCGGGCACTGGGGCCTTCGGTGGAGCTCCCTATGGAGCCACGAAACGTGTGAGGGGTGTGCCGAAATGGGTGTGGGTGACGCATGCGGGCGGGCACTGGGGCCTTCGGTGGAGCTCCCTATGGAGCCACGAAACGTGTGAGGGGTGTGCCGAAATGGGTGTGGGTGACGCATGCGGGCGCGGGCACTGGGGCCTTCGGTGGAGCTCCCTATGGAGCCACGAAACGTGTGAGGGGTGTGCCGAAATGGGTGTGGGTGACGCATGCGGGCGCGGGCACTGGGGCCTTCGGTGGAGCTCCCTATGGAGCCACGAAGCGTGTGAGGGGTGTGCCGAAATGGGTGTGGGTGACGCATGCGGGCGCGGGCACTGGGGCCTTCGGTGGAGCTCCCTATGGAGCCACGAAACGTGTGAGGGGTGTGCCGAAATGGGTGTGGGTGACGCATGCGGGCGCGGGCACTGGGGCCTTCGGTGGAGCTCCCTATGGAGCCACGAAACGTGTGAGGGGTGTGCCGAAATGGGTGTGGCTGACGCATGCGGGCGCGGGCACTGGGGCCTTCGGTGGAGCTCCCTATGGAGCCACGAAACGTGTGAGGGGTGTGCCGAAATGGGTGTGGGTGACGCATGCGGGCGCGGGCACTGGGGCCTTCGGTGGAGCTCCCTATGGAGCCACGAAACGTGTGAGGGGTGTGCGCGAAATGGGTGTGAGGGGTGTGCCGAAATGGGTGTGGGTGACGCATGCGGGCGCGGGCACTGGGGCCTTCGGTGGAGCTCCCTATGGAGCCACGAAACGTGTGAGGGGTGTGCCGAAATGGGTGTGGGTGACGCATGCGGGCGCGGGCACTGGGGCCTTCGGTGGAGCTCCCTATGGAGCCACGAAGCGGTGTACTGGGTGGGTGAAGAGGAGAGGAGGAGAGGAGGGGAGGAGAGGAGGAGAGGAGAGGAGAGGAGAGGAGAGGAGAGGAGAGGAGAGGAGAGGAGAGGAGAGGAGAGGAACGCGGGGCACCGTCTCTTCAAAACGAGGACCCAACACCACAGGATGGTTGGGAAAAATACTGCGTCACAAACAACGCTGCGTAGTTCTTCAATTAACGATTGAGATCTCGGTTTCACGATTCAGAGAGCCCTTGTCTTTTCAAAGTGGGGCACTGGCCTTATCGCCGAGAACGTGTCTCACAACATAGCAACAGCTCCGAATATTGAGCACTCGTCGTTTTCAAAGTGGGGCTCTCACCGAAGCACCACGCGGGCTTGTGTTTCAATGTGCGGTTTGCAAAGATGAGGACTTCTTTTCAGAACGGGGTCTTCGCTTGAGACGGCGTCACATGTGGCCTGAATCTTGAACGCACGTAGCGTTGCACGGATCAGGGTCGGCTATGTTCAAAATGGAGCTGTCGCTTTGGACGTCCTCGAAGTGCATGGTCACATGCGTAAGCTTGTGGAGCACTTACACGGAGGCGGCGGACCTTTTTCGAAAGGGGAATCTCGCTGGACACCTCGTTGAACTGTAAGTTCGTAGCTTTTCGCTTGCCCGAATCTGCGCCGAACAAATGCAAAGCAAGTGCTTCGAACCGGGCTCCTCGCACAAATGGCAGGCACAAATGTGCGGTTCTTTCAGGGCTGGCGCATTTGTAATGACAAACAACTTGAGCAAGCGTATTTGGAAGCCTTGGGGCAGGAGGATGTGTTGCAACATTGCTGATGCATCTTTTGTTTACTCGGGTCCTCCTCCTCCTCCTCCTCCTCCTCCTCCTCCTCCCATGATCAGCAACCACACGCGTAGCCCGAGCGGGATTTTTTCCCATCAGACTTTCCATTCCAGTCCGTGCCCCGCACGGTGGCCGAGCTCTTTTCGGTTCGAATCTGACCTGACCTGCAAACGTGTGCTCCCCCGGGGAGTGGGCTTAACAACCCCTGCCAGTATCCACTGGGCACTTAACTGCCCTGGCCACCCCGAAGGCCTCCCACGGTCTCTAAACGCCTCCCAGGGCCTTCAAGGCTGCCTTCATGATTGATTCTGGGGAGCAAGAGGGCAACAAACAACATTAAGCACACGGTAGCACACGTCAAGCTGTTCAGCGTGTTCGGCCCGCCGTCTACTAAGAATTCCTCAGATGATTTCGAGAGACCCCGCATAAGTTCCAATATGGCCACATGCTCGCACAAGGTAGCCAAAAAGGGAATCCCAAAAGGCCCCGACATCGCCTCGGACTGTCTAACACGGCCCGAGGATACCCCAAGACAGACAGCCCCCAGAGGCCCCAAGATGACTCAAGTATTCACAATAACAAATCGCCCAATGTAGCTCCAAGATACCTCCAAGAGGCTCCACGATGTCCCTCTGAATTCAATGCAGCATCAAACCGTTCTCAGTTCGGCACAGGACGGCCCCACCAACCAACAACAACAGACACAGTGATCCATGACGGCTAGGAAACGTTTCTGGCCCGACTGGCCACAGGCCACGGATCCATCATAGGAGGGTCGGCGGCAGAGGTCGGAGACCTTGAGGTAATTAGCAAGCCACTGCGACGCGCAGCCGAGTCGAACCGCGAGCATCCTCGCCTGTTCATGGAGATCCATCTTCTGAGGGTCAGTCAAAGAAAGGCAATATAAGAAGAACAAGTCTGAGAAAGATACTGGCCCGGACGAAAGATTTCCAGAGGAACTTCCAAGGAACAACCAGGGATTGCTTATTTCGTAAGAACTACGGCCCCAAACAGAGGCAATCCAAGGAATTGAGCTTACACTTTCCTTACCCCCAGAAGACTGACCCCATTAGCAGGCGAAGGAAGAGCCCTGCCCTCTCAGGGACCAGCTTGAAGCCACCTCGCCATCGCTCGGACGCCCATTCCGCGTGCACTTTTCGACCCCGCGGGTGTATTCCTCGCGCGATGATCCAGGATGCTCCTCGATGGTCCTCGCCGAGGCCAAACGCACACGTCTGAGCGATGCCCAGGGCACGAGATGAAGAGATGAAGAGGCCCCACCCTGCGGGCGGCAACCTCCGCCGGGCGGCCGACGCCGCCGCGCGGACCGATCTTGGCACGCCCAGGCCCCAATCATTCGACGCCTTGTCTTCGTGCGCTAGGAGCTCGACCACGAGAAACCCAGCCTTGGAACTCCAGGACGTCCGTTGATTCCTGGTGTGGGAACGTCACGCTTTCCTCAGCAGAACCATCGAAACCCAAGAAACCCAGGGCACCCTAGATGCGAGCAGGGTGTTTCTTGTCTTGGGTTTCCACCGTGCGGGGTTCCCGGACGTCGCGACCCTTGTCGGCGGCGAGCGAGGGGGGGAAGTGAGATGGAGTGGGCCCTCTCAGAAGGCTCGCGACCCCCGGGCCTTCTGTGGAGTTTTCTGCGCCCTCCCCGAAGACACAGAAGGCCTCTCAGAAGGCCAGAAGGCTTCTGAGAAGCCCCGCTGCCTTCCGAGAGGGCCTTCTCCTTCTCTCTTCCCTCCCTCGCTCGCCGTCGACCCTTCCAGGGGCGGATTTCTCATCCCGAGTCGTTGTTTGACCGTCCAGGGGCCTGGCGGGGCCCCTGGAGGCCGATACAACAAATATCAAAAACCTTCCGCCGTGTTTGTTCTCACCATCATTGACTTTTTCTGCGTGTCGCTGCGGCGGCCCTGGCGACACGCTAGGCCATGCGAGTGTATAGCGTGTCGCTCCGCGGGGCGGAAGGCTCGAAAAGGCTCGGGACGTTGACGCCTGGGACCTAGGATGTGGTTAGCGTGCCGCGCTGAAGCGTAAGGGGCCAGAACTGGCGGAGCGAAACGCTCACTAAAAGTGTCAGACCGCAAGCGACGCGAGCATGACTGGGGCTAGGTCGGGCATGCCCCCTACAGGCGGATCTTGGAAGAGAAGTAACAGCTAGTCAAGAGTATGCAGAAAGAGTGAAACCTGTTTTTGAACAATCGTCCCCAGGCAATGCTTTGTTTTTATTCTTACTATTTCCCTACCTAGGCTCTGCCCAGAGGGTTCTTACTCTCTTAGCTTAAAGGGGCCGGGCAGTGTTACACGCCCCGGGCGGTTCCCCCGGTCCCCGCCCCGCGGTTCCCCCAGTCCCCTGGGAGCTGTAGCTTTAGCCTTAGCTTTAGATTTAGCTTAGCTTAAGCTTAGTAGCTTAGCTTTTCTTAGCTTTAGCTTAGCTGTAGCTTAGCTTTAGCATAGCTCTAGCTTAGCTTTAATTTAGTTTTAGCTTAGCTTTAGCTTAGCTTTAGCTTAGCTCGAGCTTAGCTTTAGCTTAGCTTTAGCTTAGCTGTAGCTTAGCTTTAGCTTAGCTTTAGCTTAGCTTTAGCTTAGCTTTAGCTTAGCTTTAGCTTAGCTTTAGTTTAGCTTAGCTTAGCTTTCGCTTAACTTTACCTTTGCTTTAGCTTAACTTTAGCTTATCGTTGCTTAGCTTTAGCTTAGCTGTAGCTTAGCTTTTATTTAGCTTTAGCTTAGCTTCAGCTTAGCTTTAGCTTAGCTTTCGCTTAGCTTTCGCTTAGTGTTCGCTTTGCTTTAGCTTAGCTTTAGCTTAGCTTTAGCTTAGCTTTAGCTTAGCTTCCGCTTAATTTTCGCTTAGCTGTAGCTTAAGTTTAGCTTAGCTTTAGCTTAGCTTCAGCTTAGCTTTAGCTTAGCTGTAGCTTAGCTTTGGCTTAGCTTTAGCTTAGCTTTAGCTTAGCTCGAGCTTAGATTTAGCTTAGCTTAAGCTTAGCTTTAGCTTAGCTTTAGCTGCTTAGCTTCAGCTTAGCTTCAGCTTAGCTTTATCTTGGCTGTACCTTATAGCTAGCTAGCTTTAGCTTAAGTTTAGCTTAGCTTTAGCGTAGCTTTAATTTAGTGTTAGCTTAACTTTAGTTTAGCTTTAGCCTAGTTTTAGCTTAGCTTTACCTTTGATTTAGCTTAGCATTAGCTTATCTTTAGCTTAGCTTCAGCTTAGCTGTAGCTTAGCTTTAGCTTAGCTTTAGCTTAGCTTTATCTTAGCTTTAACTTAGCTTTAGCTTAGCTTTAACTTAGCTTGAGCTTAGCGTGAGCTTAGCTTCAGCTTAGCTTCAGCTTAGCTTTCGCTTAGCTTTACTGTCACTACTAATGCTGCTTTCCTAGGGGCTCCAACGCCTAGGTAGGGTCGCACTGGGATAATTTTGAAGATCCCTCCTGTAGAGGCACGTGCCCGACGCAAGTCTGGGGAAAGGCCCTGCCGATCAGCTCCTGGCTCGCAGCGACGCCAGGCTCCGCCCGCCGGCGGGGCCCTGCCGCTCTGCTCCGAGCACGCCCAGGATGTCCTCGGCGCAGCGCTTTGCGACGGCGTCTCTGCCGCCGGCTCCCGCCGCCCACTCGAGGGGATCGAGCACGCCTGCGGGCAGGGTGCAGGGCCATAGGGTGAGGGCATTGGAGAAGGAATCATCGGATGAGGAATCCAGGCTGTGGAAGCCGGTGGAGCTCCAGTCGCGGATTGGCCGTAGGTGTCACCGCCGCCCTCGTCAGACAAGGAATCGTACAGGGTCTGAAACCTCCTGGGCACATTCGTCAACCAACGCCCCCACCGCAGCCACATCCACGGCGTCTTGGAAGTTCCCGGGTAGGGGCTGTCAAGACCCAGGACGCAGCGGATGTGGATCAAAGCCTGGCCTCGCCAGAGGCAGCAGTCTTCATTCACGTCCACTGCGTCTTTGTCTCTATGGGGCGGAGTCCAAAACATCCAAGACGAAATGGAGATGTTTATGAATCCTGCCCGGACCGCCGGCGCCGTCGGGGGACTGCGGCTGCACAGCCTCGGTGCTCGCGTGCGCACCGCGCTCCACCAGCAGCTTCCCGACGTGTGCGCTCGCCGCGCTCAGGTGGCGCTGCATCGCTGCGATCTGCGCGTGGTCGAGGAGGGGCTCGGACGCTGCGAAGAGGTCCACGTCCCGTGCGGCGTGCGTCTGGCCCTCCAAGTTCTGGCGCACACACCCTGGCAGGTAGTTGGCCCTGGCGGCGACGGCTCCTCTCGGTGGTGCCTGCGGAGGCGAGGACGGTACCCTGGGCGAGTGCGGCGGCGTAATCAGCAGCAGCCCATCTGAATGGGGCAGCGCCTCCTCCTGGTGAGTGCCAAGAAGAGCCGCCATGCGGTCACTTGGGTTGAGCGGCGCCGATTTCCAGGCACCCTTGACGAGCTGTTTTCGCCAGGGCCTCAACTCCAACAACCTGAGCCAGAACGGCCGCGGAGCTCGCTGACGGTAGCTCTCAACACGCAGCCAGGGCAACGGACGCATGATGGCACGACGACGAACACGACCTGGGCTCGGACCCCGACAATTTCCCCATACGACGCTTTCACTGACAGGCTCAGGCTTGGCCCCTCCCGAACAATCACTTGCAACACGCGCTTTTCCTTGCGTGTTCCAAGGCGTTGGATGGGTGTCCCGAGGATTCGCCACATTCCGCTCGTTTCCGCCCCGTTGCCGCCCGCTGCCTCCTCTGGGGGTGCCCCCGGGGGTTCGCCATGCTGCGGCCAATTGCCGCCCGTTGCGGGCCGTTGCCACCTGCGGGGGTGCCCCGAAAATTCGCCGCGTTCCGGCCAATTGCAGCCCGTTGCCGCCTGTGAGAATGTCCAAGTGATTCGCCACGTTCCGGCCCGTTGCCGCCGGTGGGGGGCCCGCAAGATGCAGACCTGCTCTTCGGAAACGTCCGCAGAGACGCTTGTGCTTCTCATAGCTCACGGTCGGAAACTGGTGGCTTGCGTGTCGCCACGGCGGCCTCAGCGACACGCTATCCCTTGCGAGCGGAAAGCGTGTCGCTCCTCTCCGCTGCGCGAGGCGGGAGGCTCGAACAAGCTCGGGACGTGGACACTGGGGGGCTGGGAAGTGGATAGCGTGTCGCGCCGTAGCGTGGGGACCAGAACTGGCGGAACGACACGCTATCCAACAGTTCCCGACCGCCGTGCACATCCACATGCCATGACTTCGGACTTCGTGTATGGGGGCCACGCTGGCAAACGTTCAGTAGTCGGCCAGCGCCTCGGGGTTGGGCACCAGGTGGCCGCGGGCGGGCGCCTCATGCCCACCCCGTGCGGTGGCTGGCGCGTCTGAGTGCTCGCTCCACGTGGCTGCCGTCCCGTGTGCTGACTGGCGAGTCCCGGTTGTCACCCAATGGCCGCGCTTGTGGGCGCCGCGTGCCCCCCCCCGTGCGCTGGCTGGCACTTCCATGCTCACGCGCGCGGTGGGCGCCCAGTGGCCGCCTCATGGCCGCCCCGCAGACCTTGCCGCCGCTCGGACGTCCAATCCGTGTGCGTTGTTCGGTTTCGCGCCGAGAAAGGAAACACACGTGTGCGCGATGCCAGAGAACTGGCCGGCGCGTCGGTTGCACCCCGCGGGTTCCCTTAACTAAGAGAAGAATCGGATTCCCAGCCCCACAACGAATCCAGGGCTTTCTACACCCCTCCGTACACATGTGCCGCATTCATGTTGCACGCTCGTTCATTCAAAACATCAAATATAAGCATGCCAGGAAGGAGCGTATCGCCTTTCCATTTTCGTACGGTGCGCCATCGTTGATGTAAAAAGCGCGTGATGCCAATTACCCCAGTGCGATCCTACCTAGAAGTTGGAGCCCCTAGGAAACCAGCATTAGTTGCTGTGCTGTGCTATGCTATGCTATGCCATGCTATGCCATGCTATGCTGCGCTATGCTATGCTATGTTATGCTATGCTATGCGATGCTATGCTGCGCTATGCAATGCCATGCTATGCTATGCTATGCCAAGCTATGCTATGCCATGCTGCGCTGTGCTATGCTAAGCTATGCGATGCAATGCTATGCTAAGCTGCGCTATGCTATGCTATGCTATGCTATGCTGCGCTAGACTATACTATGCTGGGCTATGCTATGATATGCTATGCTGCGCTATGCTATGCTACGCTGTGATGTGCTATGCTATGCTGTGCTCTGCTAGGCTAAAGCTCAGCGAAGCTAATCTTAAGGTAAGCTAAGCTAAGATACACCTGAGCTAAGATGAAGCTAAGCTAAGCTAACATGAAATAAGCTAAGCTACGATGAGATAAGCAACGCTAAGCTAAGGGGACGTAACTGGGGGAACCGCGGGGCGGATACTGGGGGAACCGCCCGGGGCGCTATCCACTGCCCGGCCCCTTTAAGCCCAGAGAGTAAGAACCCTTCTAGGCAGAGCCTAGGAAGGGAATCAACCTGGAAAAAAATAGGTGGCACGTGTCACCCCCGAAACCGCGTGAGAAAGACCAATTGTATGAAGGTAAACTAGCTAATATACACCTGAGCTAAGATGAAGCTAAGCTAAGCTAAGATGAAATAAGCTAAGCTAAGATGAGATAAGCAACGCTAAGCTAAGGGGACGTAGCTGGGGGAACCGCGGGGCGGATACTGGGGGAACCGCCCGGGGCGCGTTCCACTGCCCGGCCCTTTAAGCACACCGAGTAAGAACCCTTCTAGACAGAGCCTAGGTAGGGAAATACCATATCAAGTAAAACCATGCTGCCCACACGAGTGCGCAAGTCACATACATTGAACAACCACCGCGCATCTGCCATCTCGGACAACATATGCAATGCGGACCACACGCGCGCATGTCGAAACTCTTCCAACACCAATGTACGGTTTTACAACTCGACGCACCTCTGTTCAATACCAGATGACAGATACATTGTTTATGTTAACGTATCTGGATTGCTCCGCGCGCGCTCTGCTTTCGCATCCTCATCGACACAATCGAAATCATCATCTCCACCGTTGTCATTGCCACCAACATCACTATCATTCTCGTCGTCGTCATCCTTGCCGTCGCCCTCCTCGTCGTCATCGTCATCGTCATCGCGCTCGTTCTCGTGTTTTTCATCATTCGACCAACATCATCCTCGTCCTCGACATCGTTGTTGTCGTCGCCGTCGTCGTCAGCGCCACCGTCAGCATCACCACTCTCCCGCCCGAGTCACGAATCCGAATCGGAATGGCCCTCGAACCCCTACGCTGGTTTGGATTAGCCAACGAGTTGCGGGTGGTCGGTGGGTATGTGCTCGAGCAATGTACTGAACGACGAGCATGTGAGCTCACGTCTTTGCGTTATCGAAAATGATTTGCGCTCCATGGAATGCGCCACATAGCCTGCACCGCATAGCTTGCATCACTGGGGTTGCACAACGTACGTTCTCGCTTTCCCAAGGGTCCGCCGACCCCGCTAGCTGGGGATGAATTGGCGTGTGGCATGTTGGCTGGACCCCTCCGCATCCTCCCCCCCGGGTCCAAAATCCGGTTAAGGGGGATGTGGGGGTTGTTCACTACCCAGCGCACCTCTGAGGCCTTTCTGAGCTACACAATTATTTTCTTGGTTCCCTGGCGCAAGCACCTGGACTGGCCGCTCAGGGAGCGGCCCACCTTCTGTAGGAAGGTGCCCTAGGTGCCTGCGTGAATTCACATGCGGTCGGGCCCCTCTGCAAGAAGGCGAAGAGAGGAGCGGATAGAGGATTTGCTAAACGAGGAAAACAACATGGAATGGGGAATGCCATGAAGAGGAGGGACGGAGGGAGGAGGAAGAGGAGGAGGACGGAGGAGGAGTGGGGAGGCAGTTGAATAAGTATGTGGTTCTGCTCTCTTATCACCGCCCGAGAAGCGAAGCATACCGGATAGCACTGAAGGGCCTGAGAGCAGGCCAGCGAACACACACTGGTCACAAGCACTGAAAAGCGTGTCGAGACCCCCCAGCTTTGCTGAGCAGGAGGGAGAAAAGGGGTAGGCTTGGGGATCGCCAGGAAAACTTGAACCATCGTTGCCATGTAATGGAACGATGCTTCCAAGACGGCGCGGTCTCAACCCGCATACATTATTCCCGAGCAAGCGCGTTCATGTGGCTCTGCTCTCTTATCGCCACCAGAGATGCGAAGCATATCCGATAGCACTGAAGGGCCTGAGAGCAGGCCAGCGAGCACACACTGATCACATGCACTGAAAAGCGCGTCGAGACCCCAAACCCCAAGATTTGGACTGGATGCAGGCCAACGCGAAGCGTTAACAGAGAATATTACACACGTGCTCCACGAAGAATTGTGGGTGACGTTGTGCAACTTCAGTCTTGAATTTTCCATATGCCGTCTTACCGACGAGCTTCTTATGCTTCTAGTAGCTGAACGACGGCCTCTTTGCATTACACATCTACGGACATTTGTCAGAGACGGACACCCGAACCAAAAGCATTGAAGCATTATTTTGCCACGGGGTTCCGTACTGACAGAAGGTGGCTGTGAACGTTTCAACCCCAAGGCGTCTTGAATAATGGAGCTGTCGAGTTAACCAACACCTCGAGGTCATATGGTTTTCGATGACCACGCGACCTCGGGCTCCCCAGCGCAATCGAGCGAGGGCCGCTGACGCCCGCATCAGAGCGCTGCCTAAGCGGACCTTCTTAGAATCGGAATTCACTGAGGCCAGGGGCACCAAGCAGCCCTGTTCCCGAATCCCAAAGGGTGGCGGGGCCAGCCCCCCCCCTTCCGGGCTCTGGGCCAGGTGGCACAAGGGGCCCCCCGCCAGACGAGGCGACAGTCAGAGGCGCGGGCGAGAGAAACGAGGGCGTGCCAGGCGTCAGCCCTAAGGATGTCTCGGCTGGCGGCGCGCGCCACGTCGAAAGCGTAGACTGTGAAGCCCCTCCGCACGAGCTCGCGAGAGAGGCTGCGGCGCCCAGCGAAGACCTCGACGCAGCGCCCCCGGCGGCGGCTGGCGCCTGGCGGCGGCCCGAGGATGCCGCGAGGGCGGCCGGCAGGCTGCCTGTCGCCGCGAGCGCCCGCTCGCGCCTCCTCGCGCTGCAGTCTGGCCGCCGCCTCGTAGCGCCGCGTCGAGGCGTCGGCGCTGCAGCGGCCTCTCTGCTTCACTTCTAGCGGCGCCCGCAGGTTGCCCCTCCTGTCCTCCGAGGGGCCGCCGTGGCGGAGCTGGCGTGGGACGTAAAAAATGTCCATCTTCGTCTCCGCAACAGGAAGATCCTCGCCCCCGCGGTCTGCCGCGCAGCCAGGAGGAGGGGCTGACCGGCGAGGGCGCGACGAGGGTGGGCCATCGACGAGCTCTCGTTGGTCGCCATGGTCTTCGTGTCCGCCCTCTCTCCTCGGGGTGGAGGTTGATCGCCGCGGACGTGGAGGCCGGCGGGTGCGACGGCGCCGCGACGTCGGTCACCTGCAGGCCTGCAGGTTCAGCTCCTC